TGTTACGAGCGTGGTCCTTAATATTAATATTTCCCGCGTTTTGGTTCGATTTCTCTCGCAACAAAGAATCAGTGTGAGTCAGTTACGTTTATATAACTATTTATTTCTTTAACTTGCTATAAGTAGCGTCTTTATAATACTATATCCAATTACTATATAATTAAAACTATATCAGTTCAACTTATCTCTTTTCTGTCTGACTGAGCACAACTCTTTCGTCTTCTTCACGTAACGTCGCTTTTTAACTTCAATACTCTTTCGTATATAACTTGTAACAATCTTTCCTTAACAATCTTCTTTATAATAGCTTTTCCAAAATGATATTCACGTAAGGCGCTGAGGCCTATGAATAATGTAACTGAGGCGCTGAGGCCTATTGAATGAATAATGTAAGGCGCGGAGGCCTACTATGAATCATGTAAGGCACGGAGGCCTATGAATGAATCATGTAAGGCACGGAGGCCTATGAATGAATGTACTAGAGTTGTGCCCTCCCTTATATACTGTTCAGAGAGGAACTTTTAAACTTGCAGTGTCATTTCGTGGGAAGATTCTTACAATCTTCTTGCGGTAACCGTTCCCGTCCATTACGCACTTGTGGTAACGTAATAAACTAAAATATTTGCATGCTCATGCATGACCAAGCTAAAAGAACTTCCCATGCGTAAAACAATTTCCCATAGGTCAATTCTTTAGAGTAAATATAATATAACTAAACTATGATATATATAATATATATAGTAAAATGTATTAATATATAATATAAAATGTTATAAAATATACATGATAATTGCTATCATGTAACACCCTCCTCCTTGAAGAAAGAAAGTTCGCAAGAACTTTCGAGCGTTCTTGTTTGTAACGTTATTCATAATTCATAACAGTTGGATGTGACCAATTATAAGTCCAGTTATCACCATAACTTGCGTAATCCAAATTTAAACGGGCATCCAGTTAGACTCAGCATCTTGTAGTATTGAATGAAATCTTGATAATAGCTTCGAATTATATCATCAACATAAAGCTGTAATGTCTGTAAAATATTCAGTCTTGATCTTGTAAAATATATCCATGTGTATCATGGCCATTAATTTATAATCCATTGACATTGCGACCTTTCGTGACATATTCAAGCAAATGCCAAATGCTTGTATCAGATGTGTTGCGCTCAAGACAGACAAGACAGACAGACTAAATATGTTTACTGCTATACTTATTTGGCTATTTAATATTTTTATTCATTTAAACTTTTAACTTATGATTACAATTCCAAATGCTTAGATCTACTTAAAATTTACCGCTTGGCTTTACTTATATTTTGCTTAATCTTTATACTTTTACTTATTTGCTTATATACTCCTCTATTTTGAAATAACTTTAATAACATACACAATTTTAATTCATATTTACCGTATATTTACCGTTTTATTTAATTCACTTCGAACACTGTTATATGCATGCAATTTACTTAATTGTCATTTAGCTGTTAAATTTGCTTTAAAATAAATCTCTATAGAAAAGATGAAATTTGAGAACTCAATACAACACGAAGAGACGTCCTTAAACCCTAGCAACAGAATAACAGAATAGGAAAGATTCAACAACAGAAGAACAACATCTTCAATAAACTACATACTCCCTTTTTTAAGACGGCTCAATGCTCGCCAATAAATTTCAACAACGGGATCTCTGCCCGATAATATTTAAATTCAATTTTACTTCGTTTAATAACTTTTACTCTTTAATAATATTTTAATTCACGGGAGTTTTACCAAACTATTACAACCAACCCACTAACCATGTGGTCAAAATTACTCAATCTTTCCCCACTGATAAACATCACTGAGTAGACGTTAGGAACAATCTTAGCAGAAACCTTTTTATGAAGACGTAGTGAACCTTCAGCGTTGCACTCTTGTACTTCAGCCTCCGACTAAGTCGACAATAGAATTTTATAACATGCATTAAAACTGAAAGATACCTATCAATAACATAACAGCAAAACGACAACCAGAAGAATAACAAGAAGATCAACCGCTCCCATTCCGAAAGAGAACGTTCCCACCTGAGGGTTAAACACAGACATTATTTCCAATATAACTGGATCACACTGAATAACTGTAAAATTTCGCTACTTTAGACTTTAATTTATTTTTTTCTTCCAAACCAATTCTTTTACTTTGACTTTTTGTGTTAATTACAATTGCCGACAATTTTTCTTTTTGTTAACAAACCAATTTTCTTAAATTTTGCTTTGAACTTTGACTTTTGTGTCAATTACTTGAAATTCGATCTCAATAATAAAATTCTATTTCTCACTAATATCTCTCAATAGAACTCAATTCAATTCAGATTCAATCTTTAGATTCAGTTGTTTCCCGGACGGGCCCCCATTTTGTTACGAGCGTGGTCCTTAATATTAATATTTCCCGCGTTTTGGTTCGATTTCTCTCGCAACAAAGAATCAGTGTGAGTCAGTTACGTTTATATAACTATTTATTTCTTTAACTTGCTATAAGTAGCGTCTTTATAATACTATATCCAATTACTATATAATTAAAACTATATCAGTTCAACTTATCTCTTTTCTGTCTGACTGAGCACAACTCTTTCGTCTTCTTCACGTAACGTCGCTTTTTAACTTCAATACTCTTTCGTATATAACTTGTAACAATCTTTCCTTAACAATCTTCTTTATAATAGCTTTTCCAAAATGATATTCACGTAAGGCGCTGAGGCCTATGAATAATGTAACTGAGGCGCTGAGGCCTATTGAATGAATAATGCATAAGAGTTGTGCTCTCCCTTATATATGTTCAGAGAGGAACGTTTTATTCTTGCAGTGTCATTTCGTGGGAAGATTTTTACAATCTTCTTGCGGTAACCGTTCCCGTCCATTACGCACTTGTGGTAACGTAATAAACTAAAATATTTGCATGCTCATGCATGACTAAGCTAAAACAATTTCCCATAGGTAAATTCTGTAGAGTAAATATAATATAACTAAACTAGGATATATATAATATATATAGTAAAATGTATTAATATATAATATAAAATGTTATAAAATATACATGATAATTGCTATCATGTAACAATATTGGTCTGTAATTTTCACGTGACGTCACGGCATAAATTAATTTTATACGCCGCCATGTTGGTGGAGTGAAGTTCCAACATGGCGGCCAGCTATTCGGAACTAAACGCAAACAGCGAGGCAGAAAAAGTAATAATTCCTTTGTCTGAACATGCAAACTCTCTCGAATACAGCAACAGTCAAATGATTCAGATTCTGGTGTATTTGCAATCGCTTTTGCGACAAAAATATCCCACAATTTTATAATGTACATGTATTTATATAAACACAGATGCGAACTTACTTGTATGCTTGCCTGAAAGCTGGTCTCATTACTCTTTCCAACGTCTGAGAGCACAAAATAAAAAGCTTACACCAATATTCAGTTTGCAATTTTATTGAACTAACTGTTAAAATTATCATACATAAAACTCTATCAAAGATACAAACTTTTTGCATTTGAAAATTATTACAGACTTGAGGCTTTGATATTAACATTAAACATTTTTGGTGGTCAAGACTGAGAACCTCCACATGGTGACCACTGGGCAACAGCATGTTGTGTAAACACAGGGCGTATTAGCATACCAGGACCCCTATATTGTTTAACTGGACAACATTTTATTTTGCATATTATTTGTACAATGTCATATGTGTGTTTTAAAATCTACCCCTGTGCTGTTTCAAACTTTTCCACAACCTGTTAGCTTAATCTCAGCACTTTACACAAAGTATGACGTAATGGGGTGGGGGGGGGGAAGGGTAGGCAAATGTCCATACTTTGATTTGCCACCATCTTTTAGGCCTAAGTCAAATTTGAGTAAAGATTTTGTCAAATCATATCCACTGTATGGGACCCTAAAGTAGTTTATTGCCATGGCCTATCCAAAGTCTTTGGGTGGCCCAATCAATTACTTAACCACCACCGATAATACAGTCCAACAGACACGCTTTTTACATCGTTTCAATGCTCATGGTATTCAAACAGGCCTATGTATTTATTCCCCATATCACAAGGCCCCATAAGAATTGCATGAAATATTATCGCTGAGATTATCCAGCATGTAGTGAAACAAACAGGGGTAGATTTTTTACTTTGCAGCTGCAAAGGGGTCTCTTTTTTGACAAAGTACAATTAAAGTAGCTTACTAATTAATCCACCCCTGATACTGTTGCCCAGTGGTCACCATGCGGAGGTTCTCAGACTTGACCACCAAATTTTCAAATGTTGAAAGAATGTGTTTCTGTTTCTTGGTGAAAACATAATGTTGTAAAATACTTTACTTCAATCAAAAGGTATAGTATGAGGGCAAAGGTTTACTAGTGCAGAGCAAACTCGACTCATTCTGTCACTGAGAGGAACAGATTCTCCTTTTCTGCAAATAAGGTAATCATTGGCAAAGTTTGTTGGAGAATGGTTTATTTCTGTCTCAGTAAACTAATAATTCTTTCAACATGTATCCAGACAGTAGCATTCTTTCTTGTGGTTCCACATGGCAGCAGAATCAAGTTGGTCTTTTCCTTTTGTGAATGCCGGAATGTTCAATTTGGCTTGGCGAAACTGAACACTTTCATGGACAGTGAAACCCCTATCCGCCAGAACCAAATCAGCTGGTATAAGGTTGTCCAGCGTAGAAAGCCACAGTTCTCGGTCAGAATTAACTTATCTGAAGTCCTCCCTCCCTAAGCTTCACTGACAAAGAAAATTGTACCTTGTGGTGTAATTCCAATTAACACTATAATAATGTTTATATGATGTAAATGTAACTTGAAAACGTCTGTGCCCTTGGAAGGAGATTAGTTTGTCTATCAATAAAAGTCAGCAGAACATGGTTTACCCAGAAATTAAAACTCGGATTGAAGCATAGAATTATATGACACTCGCTTGTCTGAATGCCAACTGTTGTGGTTGAAACGTCTGTTTGTACGTGTGTTTATATGGCCGGCGTTTCTCAAGTTTTCTGGCAAATTTGCTGCGATGTCTTCGATATCGTCCATAGTCATAGGATCAAATAAACATTTAACAACCACGCCAGGTTTGTTTACTCTCTGTAACTTCTCTTTGACCATTTCTTCTGTATTCTCCAGCGACTCCGATTTTATAATATTGACCGCGTTTGATTCACAAAATCTCCATTTCCTCGCCTTGATTTTTAATAACTTTCGGCACCCGGCAGAAAGAAAGATCTTTACATTTAGATTTGTCATTTGAACAGTTTAAAACTACACAAAAAGCCGGCATATTGAGGAATATTTCGAACAGATTTGGCACAGCTATAAGTAAACACTAGTAAATTCCTCGCACGTGACGCGTTTTAATCCACCAACATGGCAGACGCTAAATTCTAGTGACGTCACAGCGGTTCGCGTGAAAACACACTATAGGAGTCACTACAGCTATTTTTTAGAAAATTTTGAATTTTTCCAGTTAAAAACGTTGAATTATAAATATGTGTTAGAGGTTTAACAATTTCTTCTCCTATTGTTTTTATCATCTTGGCACTTATTTCATCGTGGCCTGCACTTTTATTGTCATTTAAGTTATTAATTTCAGTCAGTAATTCATGTTCTGTTACAGGCTCAAAGAACATACTTTCGACATAATTACCACTAAGGTACCTTTCATGTGATATATTGGTGTTCTTCGGAATTTTTTTGGCTGGTTCAGGACCAATTTTAACAAAATATTCATTAAATTTGTTAGCAATGTCAATAGGATCAGCAATGGTCTGAATTTGAATTTTTCTGTAAAAACTGGTGGGAAGTTTTTCTCTAGTTTTATTTCTATTTAGAACTTTGTTAATAGTTTGCCATGTCATTTTCATATCGTTTTTGTACTTCAAAAATTCGTTTTCATCATAATTCTTTTTCGCAGTTTTAATAACATGATTCAGTTTGTTTTTGTATTTTTTGTACACTGTTTCATTTATATGAGATGGTCTTTTTAAAAAAGTTTTATATAGCCGTTTTTCTTAGATATGGACCTAAAAACACCACCTGTCATCCAGGGACTTTTTTCATGATCAAAAGATTTGTTTTTCATTTTTACAAAAGGAAAATTCTTATCAATTGCTGCTTTTAAATTATTATGAAAAATGTCATAGGATTCACAAGGATCATTTGTTTGAAACATGGCCACCCATGATATATTTTCAACAGATACTAAAAATGAAACGAGACTGTCGATAGTTCTTTTGTATCGTGTTTTTACCGTTTTTGATTTATTTTTATTTGTTGATAAGGATATATGAAAAATTGGAAGATGATTTGAAATGTCAGAGAAAATTAAACCATTTATGCCAAATTCTATCTGTTCAAGGTCATTGGTAAAAATATTATCAATTAAGGTTGCAGTGTGCTGGGTGATTCTAGTTGGTCTGTTAATTAGTGGAAAAAAAGATGAGTTGAAAAGTTGCTCACAGAACCTATTTGAATAGTCACAATTATCAGTTTTCAGGAGATCTATAAAATCTCCCATCAAATATGTTTTTTTTTGTTTTATCAACTTCTGAGAGTATTTCGTTCAGTTTATTTTCAAACATTTCAAAATTACCACTTGGTGGTCTATAGATATTACCAAGGATAATATTTTTTCCAGTGGTTGAAATTATTTCAATGAATAGCGTTTCAATTATTCCATCCTCGTTTATATTTAGGTCAGGACGTAGTTTGTAGTGTAGATCATTTGAGACACTAGGGATCGCAACCAGAAGTCGATTACGCTTTGGAACAGCTTCAATTTCCGGTTAATATTTTCTCATATATGCTACCTTCAGTGTGTTATTATGCAAAAGAAAGCAAACATATCGTTTTAAAATTAATCTTTAAAAACAAAGTAGATATCAGTCTACAAAATGAGTGTATTTTCGAAGCCTGAAGTGCCGTAGTTATTTTGTTACGAAGCATCAAAGTTCGGGCACATTTGCAATTTCGCCACCATTAAAATCACGTGGCACGTATTTACTCACCTACCCGTCCCTCTTCAAGCAATTTTCCACATGTGAGCCCGACCTGAATGCAGGTTTAAAATAGCACCACCTTAAAGTTTAAAGCCTGAAGATTCTTGTGAACTATGTCGTTCTTCAACTTTTTGAGCAGAAGACTTTGTTTTTGAAAAGCAAGATACGACTCAATTTAACACAAAATGTTTACAATGACAGGTATGTACATAAACTATATGTTTTAAGGTTTCTTTTTATATATAATTTGTTTTGTTTAACGATCGAGCTCACATGTGGAAATTTATTTGAATTTAGGTAATTTTGCAAGTTTGCCAATGGTGTGTGTCATTGTCTTTGATTGATAAATGATTCTTGAAAAATAATGAGTAAGTTATCAACAGTAGTATGATGTCATCAGTGATGTAATTGGGACATCAGATTTGTAGTGTTGTCATGGAAACAGTCTGTGGCAACTGACAAGTGTTTAGGATTGGTAGGATGTACAATAATGAAACTATCAACATATTTCAATGAGTTAATTTTAAGTATAAAATTTTCAGCAAAGATATGCAGAATGTTGCAATTAAAATGTATGAATTTGAATTTATTAATAAAATATAGACTTTGCAACCATAAAGGTTGAAATACATCTATCATTTACAGGGTTGGTTGATTAGAAAAATATTGTATATTTACAAAAACGTATTTACTATAATATAGGAAGAAGAATCACAATACTAATTGAGAAGCACAATACTATAGATCAGGAGGGAAAGCCACTAGATAGTACGTGGCGTGCTCTCTTTAATGTGCATAATTAATTTCTCTTGTCTTGGACGCGCGCACGTTAATTGGAATCACTTCACTACGTTTTGAAATGACGTGGTTGATGTGCCGTTTAATTAAATGATGCGAGCCAACAGATCACGACACTCTTGTATATAAAAAGAGTGTGTGAATTAAACAAGTCACATATTATTAGCACTGATGAAGATCTGAGCTTACGGATCGAAAACTTTGCAGTAATAAATTTACGTGGTGTTTCCACAAACAAAAACAATTATAATATAGGAAGAGTTTAGAACTTCTAGTATGATATTACCATAAGGGCAAAGGGAATATCAAAAAAGTGCGTGATTAGCGAAAAAAATTTGATAATTTTTTTAGAAAACAAAATTTGTAACTTTTTGAAATCCATGCATTTTTTATCATATTTCACTATATATTTTTCAACTTAACTGAAAATGTAGCTAAATATAGTCGAGTCACGAAAGAGGAAAATATCATGTATACAATACGCGTCTGTAATACGATCTTTCACTTTATCAACATATAATCCAACCTCACATAATCAACAATTGCATAACTATTATACTGTTGAGCATGGTGTTCTATACACTATAATGCTACGGCTAGCATTCGTTAAAAATTCACTACGTTTGTTAGTAATGTGGTTAAACTTTATATAATGGAGTGGTATCAACTACAAATCACTACGCCTGGCACTCTGAATGTAATTCAGTACGCTATGCCTATGGTATTAATATAGCGTTTAATATATATAGTCTATGCGGTCAAATATCTACATAAACAGTGTGAATTGGTACAGTATATCATTTTTAAAATTAAACTCCATATAAGTGCTCGTTTCAAATGCACAAAGCAGATGAACTGGCAGTAAATAATACGTTCTTACTTTTTTCAATACGACAGGCTTCATAAATGAAGTTTGTATTCCCCATTATATTGTATTATAAAAATACACAATCATCAGTCGAGTCTGTTCACATGCATTTCATGAGCTAAAATATCTTAGCAGAAGCCAGAAATTATATCAAAATCACATTTGGGCTTCCACACTCGTTGATATCCATATTCATAACTTAAGTAATCTCGACAGAATTAGTAAAAAGTGGTTTTAGTCACGCGGAAAGCGCGCAAGTAAAGACAATACAAGGCCAAGTCCTGCCATTTCGAGAGAGCAGGACTTCGCATTTGTAAACAGTCGGTTTGAGCATACGCAGGCCTAATTATCCAATCACAACCCAAGATTTCTTGTATGAATTTACTATGAAATATACTAGCAAGTCCTGCCATTTGAAAATGGCAGGACTGAAATACGAGTCGCGTGTAAATCAATGTAGAGTTGCAGTTGCTAGGTAACAGATATGGCAAGCTGTAAAATTGCGTAAATATAACAAAATGCGAAAAACTTTTTAAAAAATACTAACGAAAAAGACAAGAAAATGAGACAAAATAACAATATGATGATAAAATTTTAAAGCTTCAAGATAAATAAAGCAATGTTTTAGTAAGGAAATTTGGGGAAATTTTTAGTCCTGCTGGGCAGGACCGCTAGCTACGCTACTGATGCCAAACTTGGGCACAATACTCCAAAATGGGTCTTACACATGAAAAATACACTGATATCAATGTTTTAGTGTCACAATGAGCTCGCTTGAGGAGTCTAAGCATGTAAAGGCGTTTTGCGGATTTTTCCACTATGTAAGCGCCACATGGTCATTCCACTTTAGGTCGTCCTTGAAAATTAAGCCAAGGAGTTTAGCGGATTTCACCACTTCAATGGGCTGTTCGTCAACAATCATTGGAGGGAAATTTGGATTGTTTTTCCAAAAACAAACGAGGATTTCTTTGCATTTACGAGGGTTTAAGGATATGTTATTTCTTGCACGCCACTGCATAATTCCTTCTAAAATAGTTTGAAAGTTCGAATCTTGGTTTCTAGAAAGGGTTTCTGAAACAGACGAATCGTCAACATATTTCCATCTATCATCCCAATCAACCAACAAATCGTTTATCATAATCATAAATAGAATGGGACCTAAGAATCGTAAATAGAATCCTATCATAATCATAAATAAAATCGGACCTATATAAAAATGAGGTCACATTGTTACCATGGTAACTGAACGATGTTGTCCGTCGTGTTGTCGAGCATGTAATGCTATCCGGCACACATTTAGTTTTTAAAAATTAATGTTTTCGTGATGAAAAATATGTATTTTAAGTGCATATTGAGTATAGCTATGACGTCATCATATTTCCATGGTAACATAGTTTTGTAACATTTTTATCAACTAGTATTACTTATTTGACATATAACACATGTCATACAACACTTTTGTAATGGTTTTTAAGTAATAAATTATCTAATTTCAGTTTCCGTGTTTTTTCTTTGTCATTTAATGACGTCATACGGTTTCCATGGCAACGATAAGTGTCCAACTGTTACACTATGTTGTTGCTTTGTATGTCATCAATGTCCTCTGAAAATATTGTGGTGATTGGATGAAATGTCTAGAAGTTATGACCTTATATGTTCAAAAATCCACTTAAAACCAAGCATTTTGGTGCCACATTTCACACCCAGCTGCAATACATTTATACAGTGTCGCTCTTCCAAAAATTGGACTAAAATTCCAATATTCAAATTGCCGTAACTTTTGATTGCCTTGACCGATTTTGATGAAACAAACACCATTATCATGTTTCGCTTGCTACTCTGGTTTAAATAAATGATTACAAAGCCCAGTTGAATTGTAATCAAGACCCAACGTTTCGACACTCCAGTCTAATACAAGGTACGAATTAACATGTCGCGAATCGCGATGCATTTTTGAAGATATGCGATACAAAAAAGTGCCAAAACTTTAAAAAACGCGATACGTAATAATTGTTTGTCAAGTCATCACTTTTTTCCAATAATTTTGGCAGAAACTGCAGTTTGAACAAGTCATAAAATTGAATAGAGTGCGAGGAACTGTTTATTTAAACCATGTAGTCAAGATACCTAGTATATTATTTATCCGCTTTTCACCGAGATCAAAATCGGTATAAATTAGTGATAATAATTTGTATTGCTGTCTTCGCAGAGGTCCGACTGTTATTGCAATTAACTAAACCAATCATAATTCAAAAATTTTGATCCTTTACATCTTGGGGGGAAGTATAAAAGGCAGAGAAACCTTTTGAAATTCACACATATAGTGACATAGAAGACATGCCTAAACTTAAAACGGTGAAAAACTGGGAGAAAGAATACAACATTAAACTCGAATGGGATGTACAACCTGGTGGAAATGCTGGAAATATTCGATGTTCGACGTGTAAAGAATACGACGATCGGCTCCAAGGGTTGAAAAACTACAGTCGTGCATGGGTCGAAGGCTCTAAAAGCGCGACCTCTGATTCTGTGAAAAAGCATGTCAACACTGATATGCACAAGCATGCTGTTGATATAGCAATGAAAAAACATCTTGGCTCCGAACGATATACCGAAAATGTAATGAAAACCACTCCAATTGGGAAGTCAATAACAAAGATGGAAGAGCACTCAAAAGAAGTCTTGAAAATGCGGTTCAACACAGCCTATTACCTTGCCAAGAAGGAGAAGCCATTTAAGGACTACCCCGATTTGCTGGCACTGCAAGAAAAAAACGGAATTGACAAACAAAGGGGATACCGCACTCCTCAAGCTGCAGCAAATTTCATTGACTTTATAGCAGAACAATTTAAAGCTCCCCTGAAAGAAATTCTTGTGAAAGCCAGGTATTATTCCATTTTGACTGATGGCAGTACGGACACAAGTGTAACTGAGCAAGAACTTATTTACGTTATGTTCCTCAATGATGATGGACAAGTCAATATGAAGTTCCTTAGCATCGAAAACCCTGCAGTTGCGGATGCCACACATTTGGTCGAGTGTATTAAGGAAGCATTTCATCGCATAGGCATAGTAGATTATTCATCCCATTTACATGGACTGAATGTGGATGGAGCTTCCGTCAACCTGGGAGTCCATAGAGGTGTTGCAGCACTTTTGAAGCGGGAATCTCCCTGGTTAACTGCCATACATTGCTTCAATCACAGGATCGAGCTGGCTGCAAAGGACGCATTTGGAAACTCAGTTTTTGAAGAAATTGACCAAATGCTTGCGTTCTTCTACAAGATTTATCGAAACAGTTCCAAAAGATTGAAAGCGCTGAAGGAGCTTGGTGCTGCATTGGGAGAAAAACTGCCAAGACCTGTTAAGGCATCAGGTACTCGATGGATTGGACATCGTTATAACGCCATAAAGATTGTTCCAAAGCACTATGGAGCATATATGATGCATCTTGAAGAACTTGCGAAAACTGATATTCAAGCTGAAAAGCGTGAACAGTTCAAAGGTTATCTTAACAAGTGGGAGCATGGAAAATACCCAATATCCATGGCTATTTATCTTGATGTTTTATCTATTTTGTCTAGAATGTCTCTCAGTGAGCAAAAGGAACAACATGACCCCGTGAAAGCAGTTCGTCGAATACAAGAATTCAAATGGACAATGGTTAAATTACACGGACATGTCCTAGAAGCGCTAGATCACAACGAACTGAACCAAGCAGAAAAATCTCGCCTCACTTACTATAACAAATTTAGAAGTGAAGTTACATTCGAAGATGATAACTCATACGTTTACCAAGGAAGAAAGCTGAAGAATTTCGAAGCAAGTGAACGCACGGTAAGGGAGATTTACCGATCGACGATTGCTGCTCTTTCTGATGCCGTTAGCGGTCGGTTTGAAAGTTTATCCATCTGTCCTGTGTTCAAAAATTTGGTAGATATTCTCGACTGCACCAAATGGCCAACTGATGTAACTCAGCTTCTATCTTATGGAAATTTGAGCATGACTGAACTGATCAAGCATTTCACGCCGTTATTAGAGCGTAATCTTTGTAATATAGCAGAGATTCCTGCAGAATGGGATATACTGAAGAATCGACTTCGTCATTTGATACACCCTAACAGCAGTTACCTGGATGTCTGGTCTAAAGTTCTTACTTCGGAGGAATTTCGGAAAGAGTGCGCAAATGTGCTGCATATTATCGAGTTATTGCTTATAACTCCATTTTCCAATGCAAAGCTCGAACGAATGTTTAGCACTATGGGAAGAGTGAAGACAGATTGGCGTAATCGACTTGGCAGAGATCGACTGGAAGCGAACCTCAGAATCAGCCAGGAATGCGTTGGTAACTCGATGGATGATTTCTGCCCAGACGCAGCGATCGAATCATGGTTCAATGCCAAAATTAGACGACTGAATTGTTCTAGCCATAGCTATCCTAAAAAATGCAAAACAATCTCGTCGAAAGGAGATGTGATTGACATCACGGAACTGACTATGTCTGATTTAGAAAACGGTGATCTAGACTCTGACGATGAAACCGATTTCTGACTCTAAAATCTAGATTAAACTTCTAGTAAACTTGTATTATATTAGCTGTAAATGTTTTTATATTATAACGTATATAATTTGAAACGTTCTAGAACAGTGATTAGGTTCATCGGAATTCAACATTTTGAGGTTTTTGTCAGAACAAACGTAAATATTGCCGCCATTAATCATTATTTTGTTTAATATTGATCATTGTTGAGAAATTTGAGATTAAAAATATTGGAATTTCCAATGTCATAGGGAACCGGGGAAATGACAAATTTGGGGGTGTACGATTTTTCAATGACAATAATCGCGATGCACTTTCCCAACGTTAATTTGTACCCTGTAATGTCTTCATCAGGGGTGATCTAAAACTGCGATTGTGGCTTCTTAAATACCCAAGGGATGATGTCACCTGCCAAGAAGATGCATATATTTCTCTGGCAAATAGGCGCCGTCATCCCTATTCAAAGCATGATGACTTGTATTTATATGCCATGCTTCTAGGCAAAGTCTTTGACCATAGCGATTGTTTGTGGTAATTACTTTGGAGTTTTCCCACGCATCTCGTGTTTGGTGTAACATACATGTTTGGCTAAAGCTGATTTCCCTTGTCTAAAGTTGAAACAGCCTCTTGATGTTCTTTTAGCTGTGTACGAAACTGGCGTTTAGACTGACCCAAATACGCTTTGTCGCAGTCACCGCATGGTATAGAATATATAGCATGAGTCTTCTGATTTTTTTCAACAGGATCTTTTGGCTTTGCGAAAATATGGCCTAAAGTCAAATAGGGTTTTAAGGCAACCTTAATATTACAATTACTTAAGATTCTCTTAATTGGTTCTGTACCTTGAATGTATGGAATATTGCAAAACCCTTAACAGAGGTATCACCCTTGGAGTTATTTTGGTTCCTACAAACAGGTGGTCTCAGGCAATCATTAAGAAAACGCTTTGGGTAATTGTTTTCCCCTAAAACTTTTAGAACATATTCACGTTCATTAGCTTGAGAATCACTGTTTGACGGCAATGATTCAGCTCTTTGAAGCAAAGTTTTTGCTACGGATCTTTTATGGCTTACTGGGTGATGAGAGTCGTATGACAAGTATTTGTCTGTGTGTGTGGGTTTGCGATAAACATCAGTCTCTAACTCCCCTTCGACAGTTCTGTGTACATTCAAATCTAAAAAAGCTAAATGTCCATTTATCTCACGTTCTACCATGAATTGGATGGACGGCTCAATATAATTTAAATGTTACAGCAGAATATCGATCTCATTTGTAGAAACCGCAGCGATGACATCATCGACGAAACGTTTCCAAAACGATAGGGACACCGGAACAGAGGCTAAAGCTCTTTGTCGTGCAATTAATGATTAACACTACTCGTGATATTTGAAAAATGTGCCAAATTGCACTTGCCTCGGCAGCTCGTGCAATTTTGGCACATTTTTCAAATATCACTTGTAGTGTTAATCATTAATTGCACTCCTTCCCATGTGATTACCTATACTAATTTAAATTATTTAATCCTGATTATGTATCATCAATCATAATGAGCATATTTACTGATGATACTTGCTATAATTGCAAAAAGTCATTAAACAAAATTAAAAGAAAGATAAAGTGTGTTATCTGTAATCATTTGTATCATCAATAATGCACACCCCTTTCAATAAAACAATATAATTATCTTATTAAAACAGATAGTAAGACAACTTGGTATTGTTCTCAGTGTCTTTCTGATATATTCCCTTTTCATGCCATTGATAATCAAGTTTTCAATGAATTATTTTATTTTGACCAAAATACCTTGTGCTATTGTTCGAATAGTTTATCTTATTCAAGAATAGAGAATTTGCCATGTTATAATATATCATGTCCTCTATAAGTAATAGTCCTCACCTCTGTAACAATGATATAGACTTACAACTACCCTATGAAACCAACTTTAAATATTATACATTTTATGCAAGTGAAGAAGTAACAAATATATTTAACAATAAATCATTTTCAGCTCTTCATTTAAATATTAGAAGTTAATTATCAGCAAATTTTGATCCTCTGTGCAACTTTCATTCTTTATATTTGGCTTATCAGAAACTAAATTTATTTTGCAAGCCACTTTATCAAATGCAGGTGGTGTTGGTTTCTATGTGAATAATGATATTGTATTTAGCAAGAGGGAAGATCTGAGTTGTTCAGAAAATGAGCATGAATCCCTATGGATTGAGATTCAGAATAATCAACAACATAATATCATATGTGGAGTGGTTTATAGACCCCCAACTGCTGATATTAATGCTACTTTAACTTACTTGTTCAATACTATTGAAAAAATCCACAGTGAAAATAAATACTGTATTCTAATGAGTGATTTTAATCAGTGGCGTAGCAAGTGGTCCTGCTTGTCCTACCCAGCAGGACTAAAAATTTCCCAAAATTTCCTTACTAAAACATTACTTTATTTATCTTGAAGCTTTAAAAATTTATTATTATCATATTGTTATTTTGTTATTTTGTATCATTTTCTCGTCTTTTTCGTTATTATTTTTTAAACGTTTTCTGTATTCCATTACATTTACGCAATTTTACAGCTTACCGTCTCTGTTACCTAGCAACTGCAACTCTACAAAAGCTCATTTCCGGGCAATATATTGATTTACACACGCTCGTGTTTCGGTCCTGCCATTGTCAAATGGCAGGACTTGCTAGTATATTTCATAGTAACTTCATACAAGAAATCTTGGTTTCTGATTGGATAATTAGGTCTGCGCATGCTCAAATCGGCTGTTTACAAATGCGAAGTCCTGCTCTGTCAAAATGGCAGGACTTGGCCTTGTATTGTCTTTTATTGTGAGCTTTCTGCGTGATTAAACCCACTTTTTACTAACTCTGTCAAGATTACTCAAGTCAGTGAATATGGAAATCAACCAGCGTGGAAGCCCATTGTTATTTGGATATAATTTCTGGCTTCTGCTAAGATATTTTGGCTCACGAAATGCATGTCAACAGAATCGATTGTGTATTTTGTGTCGTATTGATATAAAGTATGAACGTATTATTTGCCAGTTCATCTGCTTTATGCATTGCATGAAACACGAGCGCTTATATGGAGTTTAAAAATGATATAGCCACCAATTTAGATTTACAAAGTTTATGACTGTTATTTATGTAGATATTTGGCTGCATTTTAATACACTATATATTTACTTTAAACGCTACGGCAATTTTATTATTAAATACCATAGCCCATAGGCATAGCGTACTGAATTATACAATCAGAGTACCAAGCGTAGTGGTCCGTAGTTGGTGGTACCACTCAGTTTAATAATGTACTAACAAACTAAGTAATTTTCATACTAACAAACGTAGTAATTTTTTAACGAATGCTAGGATTGCTTGCCGTATATATAGTGTTGTATATTCAACAGTGACTACAACAATTGTTGAGTTACACAATTGCACATTGACCAAGTGAAAGATCATATTACAGACGTGTATTGAAAACATGATATTTTCCACTTACATGACTTGACTATATTTAGCTAAATTTTTAAATTGAAAAATATATATAGTGAAATATGATAAATATGGAAATACGATTTCAAAAAGTTACAATTTTTTTTTCTAAAAAAATATCAAAAATTTTCCACTAAATCACACAATGTTTTGATGCTCTCTTTGGAGTATTTAGCCGTGAAATCGCAGAAAATGCCCATTCCAGACTTCTAAAATTAAAATTTTTCCAGGGGAGCATGCCCCCGGACCCTCTAGAATGTGTGGGTCCTAGAGCAGGACCTGTCGAATTTCGCTAGCTACGCCACTGATTTTAATATAAATAAAATATTAAATTTTGAGACACATACTGCTACTGATACTTTTATTAACACTTTGGGATCCTATATTGTTTTCATCTACAAATTTTACAACCTACAAGAATTACAGATCATTCAGCAACTCTTATTGATATTTTCTTTAATTCCTTGGAACATATTGTTATTAGTGGTAATATATATTTCAGGGTTATTAACCAAGAGCAAAGTCTGTACGGGAAAGTATTTGCCTCAGGTTTGCCTAACGAAGGAGCGAGGTCTGTACTGATAAACCGACCGCAAATACTTTCCCATACAGACCAAGCAAAACAAGGTTAATAAACCATTTATTATATGGCTCCTTAAACACATTTTCTGATTTTCATATATTTGTTTGAGCACTTTCAAGGTATTTTTGAGCTATGTTTTATTTGCTAGTTTTCTTCCATTAGATTTGGATTTGTCACCGAATATTGTTTATGGAAAAGCATGTTTAACAATCGCTTTAGAACTACTTTTTCGGTAACCCCCACCCCCAGAAAAAATGCTTATAAACCCACGTATCACCAAACCGATTGGCTGAAAGACAAACACGAGCGGAAGAACTGGTACAGCTATTACTACTAGAAGAATATGCACCACTGAGTAACACACGTAAATTCAATTTAATTAATATTCCTTTGGAAAAGAACAACGATAAATAAAAAAATGGGAAACTTCTCCCAAATGTAATGCTTTTAAATGCAAGATCACTTATTAATAAAATAGATGAATTGGAATTATTGGTTATTACTAATGATATAGACATAGCTTGCATTACTGAGACTTGGTTGAAGGAAACTGTTCCTGATAAAGCTGTGGCTGTTTCTGGAATGACATTGGTTAGAAATGATAGAACGTATGGTGCAGGAGGGGGTGTTGCTTTATATGTGAATAACAAAATATCATTTAAAATTCGCAAGGACTTGAATGACTCCTCGTTCGAGTGTCAATGGGTTACATTACGTCCAAAATGGGTTACCAAGAGCAATATCTAAATTTGTGGTGTGCTGCATATACGTACCACCGAGTCATAGTGAGATAGACAGTTTTTATGATTACTTTTATAATTGTTATGACAAACTCTGTACTGAAAGTCCTCACTCAGCTTTTATTGTTTCAGGCGATTTTAATCCAACGAGTAACAGCTTTCAACAGAGTCTATT